TTGACTTAGAATCCCTGTTCCTTATGCAGTATAAGAACTAACTAATTCCTGGTATGGTGACATACTGAAAAAGAATCCTGGTCTTTAATAGTGATAAAGTTTAAATGGGGGTTTTATGTGCCACTTTTTAATTCCAATGCTAAATATGCTCTGGAAGTTCTAGCTGATTACAAAGGCTGCACTTCCAAACGGACAGCTCCAAGTGCTACTGATAAAAAAGCACGCATGCAGCTCCCCCCCCCCCCCTTAGCATATTCTTTGCTGGGGAAAAAAGAAGGAAAAAGTGAAAGGTTACAAGTGGAATACAACAACCTTTGTCTCACAGAATAAAATCCTGGAGATGTGGCAGGTCAATTCCCAAGAACAGCTTCAACTGAAAGTGCCAAAAACAAGATTTTCATTATTTAAAAAAAGCTTTCTTGAAATATTAAATATTCTGGTGTTGTATCTATTAAATATTAAATTTGGTCTCCATGCAGTGATAATTCTAGGGGTAAATATTGTATTTATAATATTTGATAATGCTTCTTAATTTACAAACTTATAGAGCACGTAGGAAGAATTCTAAAAGGTAGTCTCGACCTTCAACTCTTTTTACCACTTTTTTAAAAATATAATTTTTATTAAAATGCATTTTTGTAAAGTAAAAAGATAGATATAAACAATATAAAAAATGCAAAGAAAAAGTGCTGAAAATAAAAGAAAGTGAGAAAAAAGCAAGAAAGACAAAATATTTAAAGAAGCTATTTCCAATCTTTGTAGCAATTATAAATATACTTAATGCCATTTCCACTCTTCTCTTCTCCCCATATTCAGCTCTTGTTAACAAATCACCAGTTCTTTTATTCATTTTCAGCAAAAAAAATCTATAAAGTGGGGTGGGTAGGTAGGTGTTAATTGCGAATTGTAGCTTTTAAATGTTGCACACTGTTTGGAGTAACTGTGTGAGCGACTAAATAAATTCTTTAAATAAATAAATAGTATTGAGTCTTTAGTTTTTTATTTGTCTTAATTATTATTTGTATCTCATCTTTTCTTAACTACGTACTTTTTACCACTAGTGGCATTATATTCTAAATTTTAAACTGATTCAGACTATTTCTCACCCCATACAATAGCAGATCTTAAATTACATTACAAAAGCTAGATAAGAATTCTTATTTGTCAAAAGGATTACTCCGCTCTCAGCTTCAATTATTAAATGTATTGAAAGAATAATCACACATTATCCGCATTAGATGAATTAATTACATCCCCTTACTGCATTGATAACATCGTGTCTTGTTAATTTAATATTAAGGAATCATTTACTGTTTAACATTTTAAAGCAGTACAGAGATGACCCTTGAGAAAATACCCAGCAATTGTTTATTATAAAATATGAGCTCAAGATTCAAAGTGCTAAACATAAAGTTGAATCTCTTCATAAATTGTGGCATAATTGTTTGAGACTGATAACAGTTTGAATGTCTTTTGGTGACCTTACCAGAGATGCAACATCCTGGAAAGGTGGTGCAATCAAAATTTTCAGAGGGCACAAATCTCTCTTAAAGAGAGAGAATGGACAGGGCAAGCCACTAGGATATAAATAAAGAGTACTAGCACTGATGATATTACCTAGTTTAGGTAGTGAAATGTATGCAAGAAAACAATCAAGCTCAGAGAGCACCAAGAACTCCTCTCAAAGACCAAAATGCTTGGGGTATTGTAATTTGGAAAAAAAAAAGAGAAATAAGGAACAAGTGATGAAGTTCTATAAAGTGTTGCATAGTATGGATTAAAGTCAATGGGGAGACCTTCTTGTCCCTCTCACAAAATAAGAACTAGAACAAGAGGTCAATGAAAACAACCGAAAGGAGATTTAGAATGGACAAAAACAAGCACTTCTTCATATAGTGCATAAGCACCCAATTAAACTCATTACTGCAAGATGTGGAAGCAGCCATTAATCTGATCTGCCTCTGAAAGAGAGCTGGCTGAATTGGTGGACTCCAGAAGACAGGACTTTGCATAATAATTAACCAAGAGATTTGGTTATGCTTGAGTTGGAGGCCATGGACTGATAAAAACTTAGAATCTTCTCCTTATAGCCACCTTTCAGACATCTGGCTGACCATTGTGAGAAATAAAATGTTGGGCTGAGTAAAATAGACCTGATCCAGCAGAACTATTCTGATTAAGTTGAAATTGTTATCTAGTTTTGAATACTGGATCTCCTAATGCCAGTTTTGGGGATGTCAATGATTCTGTGTACACATTACTCTATTTGACTTTTGCAGAAGGCAATAGGGTTTTGTAAGCAAAGGGTTTCTCTATCTCTATAGTTTATTGCAGCTGGATATTAGTTGGTTAATTAACTGTTTTGTTGAATACTCCATATTTATAATCCTGTTAGGTAAGGCCCTTTACATATGACCCCATAAATCATGTTGTTTGGATTTATACAACATAATAAACCCAAGTTAAACTACATTTTGGCTTAGTGCTATGTCCAAATCAAGTTACAGCGATGATGATGATGATGATGATGAAGATGAAGAAGAAGAAGAAGAAGAAGAAGAA